TGCACTGAACTTGACAACACAGCCACACTACCATCCACACAATGGAAACAACTTTATCATCTTATCATATCGGGGGGGGGATAACCAATTTTGCAGAACTGTTCTTTATTCTTACATTATCTTTTTTAACTTCAAAGAAATAAAAATGTGTACCTGTACAGAAATAAATACAAGCCTCAGGAACTAGGCAGAACAGAAATTGTTGACAATTTGCACTGCCATTTACATAAGAGTAAGGAGGGCTTGGCCCTCTAACTGCTAGCAGACAGGTGGAATGATTCATATTTGCTGCTGCTGACCTCCATGTCAACCATGTGCTCATCTTCTACTCCAAATGGATATACTATACAGTCTATGTAAGCAACACATGCTTACTTAATAAGAAAATGTAGGTCCCTAGAAAAATTCCTATTTCCTGTGCACCTTGAACTGAGCAAAAATAATTCACAGTATTCAAAACACATTATACATATAATGATCCACAAACTGAATTTGTTTCTTTTGAATCCGAAGAGGGAAATGTTTAGAGCTGATTGACTCAACCTGTTTTCACTTGTTAACAAGCAGGAAAAAATGACACACTTTTGGTTGGTCTACAAAGTTTGGCATTAGATGAACAAGCATTGGTCCTTCACACACTTTCGCTTCAGCTCTTTGTACCAGTTTCCAAGTGGTAGCCACATTGTTCTGGAGCAGCAATAACAGAAATTAGTTAATCTCATTGTTACAGGACTCATTGTTGTTGTTCTCTCAACCTGTGGAAAGCATATAGCCAACAATTTGCGGTTTATACAAACTCTCCAAACCAGGACCAAGTCGTGATTGAGAAGGATTTGTTGTCGGGTTTGGATGTCAGGCAACCTACAACTACAGTGGACTTACAGAATTAATCTGTATTGGAATGGTGGCTGCAGGTTGAAAAGTCTGTAGGCCAAGGCTCCACTGACCTACAATGCATTGAAAAATGATTAATCCATTACTGGACCCCAGTATAAACAGAACCAAAACCCCAGTATAAACAGAAGCAAAACGTAGTACAGTACAGTATTTCATTGGCATATTTAGTGGAATAGCTCAGTATTTTAGACTCGTTGGCCAAAATACTGTTGTGCAACTTTACACTGTACAAGGCTGACAATGTCATCAGCAGCAGTTTTTCAGAAATTAAACATTTTCATTTCACACACATATCCAAAGATTCCCAGGCTCCCTTGGGGATACTGTTGTTGGTTGTGAGATGGGGGTAGTCTAATTTCTAAAAATTGCTGCTTCTGGTACCACCACCAGCTAACATCTTCCTGTCCTATCCCCCAATGGCTTCCCCACAATTAAAGGGATCCCAAGGGAGCCTGTGAATCTGTGGAAATGAGACAATTAGAAAAATGTAATTTAAAAAACTGACTAATGACATCATCAGCTTTAAATGTGAAGTTGTACAACAGGATTTCAGTCAGTGATATGAGACACTGGTTCTTTTTCTCTCAGACTTACCAAATACCAAGCCAAGAGGAATATTCAAGGATTACTCAGCCCCTTTTGATGAAATTACTAACTGTAAAGCTCATCTCATCTGCTCCTCTCATATTACGTTAAGACCCTGAAGTAGAAACACATGGGGGTAGACTATGTTTTCTTGTAACTCTGTGTTATTAGCAATTCAGTTTGTCCTTCCACATACTGTACATTGTCCTCATTACTTCAGCTTCTTCTCCCCAACATTTGCTCCCCCAATTCTGCCAACTTCAGCTATACATAATTCTCGTGTCCTTTTAAAACTATATCCATTCTTCCTCGCTGCCTCACATCTGCCCTTTTAGCACATCTGCACAGTGACATTGTTTTTTCTTCTTTCAGTTCCACAGCCTTGTGCATTCCATCTGTGAAACCACTGGCTTAAACAATGATGGGCCCTTCAGGCACTGTCACACTGTACCTTTCAGCAGACCTAGCTAGCACAGCTAGTGGTAAGAGATAGGAATTGCAGTCTAACACTATACAATACAGTACAGTGGTGCCTCGCATTAGGACGTTAATTCATTCCAGCGAAATGGCTGTAGAATGAAAATGTCATAATGCGAAATTAAAAAGCCCATAGAAAGACATTAAAACCCGATTAATGCGTTCCTATGGGCTTGAAACTCACCGTCCAGCGAAGATCCTCCATAGCGCAGCCATTTTTGCTGCCTGTGCAGTGAGGAATCCATCCCAGAAAAGAGATGGAAGCGTTTTTTTTTAACCCGGTGGCCATTTTGAAAACGCCGATCAGCTGGCTGAAAACCGTCGTTTTGTGAGAATCATCGCAAAGCGAACCGATTAATGCGTTCCTATGGGCTTGAAACTCACCGTCCAGCGAAGATCCTCCATAGCGCAGCCATTTTTGCTGCCTGTGCAGTGAGGAATCCATCCCAGAAAAGAGATGGAAGCGTTTTTTTTTAACCCGGTGGCCATTTTGAAAACGCCGATCAGCTGGCTGAAAACCGTCGTTTTGTGAGAATCATCGCAAAGCGAAATTCCCCCACACGATCAGATGGCTGAAAACCGTCATTTTGTGAGAATCATCGCAAAGCGAAATTCCCCCACTGAAACCATCATAAAGCGATCGCTTTTGCGATCACAAAAAGTTCATCGTAATGCAGTTTCGTCAAACGGGGCTCTCGTCTTGCAAGGCACCACTGTACTAAGAACTAGTTCTACTCCCTGACTTAACTTTTCATTAGTCTTATTCTGCAAATGAATTTAAACCTAAGTATAGGTTTGCTTAATTTCACTCCTTCCTTCCCTACCTTCTCATTTCATGCCTGTTTTCCATTCCATTCTAATATTTGCTTCCTCCTCTCCTCTTTTGTTGTCTTTCGCCCCTCCCTCAATTCAGAGTGCAAGCTCCTTGGGGCAGGAATCAGTCTCCATTATATCTATAAAATCTTATGTGCTCTGATGCCAGGCTCAACAGTAATAAAATGTGTTGTTCAAACTCCTTATCTATTCCTGCCCACTTAAATCACCAACTGTATTTCAACATCAGTGCCAACAAGCTCAGTCCAAACATTGGCCTGTTGAGATCGTGAGGAATTCTGCAATTTGTTGCCTCCAGTTATCTCCTAGCAACTGCTACAACTCCTAGAACGCTGAGAAGCACTTTGGAGTAACTACAAGCCTTCTCCACAGAATAGCCTTACCCTCCGATTTTGCCTACAGATCATTCCTGTTACTGTACCTTGATCCTCATTTTTTCCCATCATTGTAAAGCAATGTAAATACCCTAAACCTGCCATGCAGAAAATGTAAGTTGAATGCACATGACACCAAGAAGGCAATTTAAGAGTTTCTTGAAAGCCCTATTTAAAGATAACACTGAAACACACACCCATGCAAATGATCCACACAGCTGCCATCACATCTGTTTAATGAGACTAACATGTTGCAGCCCGTCAGCATGAAGTGACTCCATCTCAGCCTGTCTACCTATGCCAAAATGGGCCCTGTCACTAGGTAGAGCAAGACAGTTCCCTCAGACAGTAGATTTTGAGTGTCACAAAAAGACAAACTGGTCATTTACTTTGTTATAGTCATATTTGTATTGCCAGGAAAGAGATGCTTTTGTGAGATTTTTCTACTTCATGTGCCCTAAGTAACTTGGCTTTGAGCAACATGCACCTTTACTCGAGTGTGGCCCTCACATTTATGGCTCTCCCTCAGACAGCAAAATGTCCTGGATACGCCCTGACTCTGGCCACCAATCTCTGCATTCTCTGCACAAACCATATTAAAAATGAAGATTCTTCTATTTTACCTTCTTTTACAAACAGTTATACACACATGGCATCCAAACATTTTAAACACAACCTCTATATCAGTCGGCTAAACCAGCAGGCTATTCTAGGCACCATCACAGAGAGCACAGAAGTACCTTTCTCAAGTCCTCACATTGTTACTAAGAGAAAGCAAAATACAACAATAAATAAAAAAAAAATCCACTGGGAGGTCTGTCTTAATCTACTGCAACAAAAACTAGATTAAGTCGTGGCACATTCAAGACTGACAGATTCTACTGACAATAAGCTTTTGTGATGTCTGCCTGATACAAATATATCTGAAATAGCAGACTGGAGTCTATGAAAGTGTATGCCAAATTTTATTTGGCATATTTCATCTTCAAAGTGCCACAAGACCTTGTATTTTTAATAAAGATTTAAGCTTTCTAACTAACAGGTGTGGGTTATGCACCAATTCAAACTGCAGAAATGAGTAACTGGAGAAAGAGAAACAGGAGGCAGCATGTTCGTGGTGAGAGTTGAAACACCAGGACAGGGCAGTGTGGGCAACTGATCAGTTCCTCTTTCCCAGAAATCCTGAAACTGGTTATGCCTGAGAGTCATGGCTGCAACACCACGCGGTTTCAGAAGTAATACACGAGCAACCAAATTTAGGAAACCGTCTTTTGTCGCAACATAGAAATCTTTTTTTTCCTTCGCTCACACGGACTTGGGAAGAGACAGGAGGGCGAGAAACCACTGGAACTGCACTCGCCACAACCTCAAAAAACCCGAGGAAACTTCGACCCATTCTAACGGCTAAGAACTCACACGTGCAATTTCGCCAGCGGAAAACACTGCCGGGCGGTCTGGCTTGCTAAGCCTCGCTTCCTGCAATAATCAAGAATCAATCGATTTACATTCTGAAGATTACAAAAGGGGCTTAGGGGAAGCCGCAGGGCAGCAGAAACAACAGGCGAGAAAGCCTCGAAAGAAACCTCGCCTCTGCGGGATGAGGCGAAA